TCTCTTAGATCTTCGCAAAGGCAGAAGTGGCGAGGCTCTGTCCGAGGATGACTGCATCTGCTTGTTCCACTCTTTGGCTGACGTCTTCTTGGAGGTAGTGTGAGTCTGCTCATCTTGCACATGATATTGCTCCAGCACTGCTTCGTCATCAAAAATCATCTCCAACTTGTTGAAGTCTATTACTGCTCCACTGGTGGACATGTACTCTAAACCAAGAATACCAGCTTGAGCAATGTCAGCTACCACTGCGGTGATCAATGTTGCTCTCCCTTTAATCTTTATCTCTCCAGTAATCTCGCCATATGTAGAAAGGGGAGATCCATCAGTTTGTAGAAATACTTGAGACGGAGGCTTCAAATGTTGTCGTCGATGTTGTGGTATTTTGTTGTAGCTCTCTATGCTGATCATATTTCGCATGGCTCCAGAATCAATGAGGAACTGCATTGAAGTTCCACAAAACTTTGCATCAGCAAGGATTTTCCGCACTACTGGCCTACTGCCAGGCTGTAAGTCAACACCGTTATTGGTCAAGAACCTAATAGGACTGACATTACTGAATCTTGAATCGTTTCTAGGTCTCTGAGGCTTGGGACAAGCTGTGGCAATATGCCCTAATCCATTGCAATTGTAACACTTAGTTTGTGAGCAAGTGGTCATTGAATGTCCTCGTTCTCCACAGCTCCTGCAGGGATACGTCGTACCCTCTCTCATTTGAGTTTTTGGGCTCTCTTCATTCTTTAAGAGATTCTTCATTTCTGTCAGTAATTCTTTCTTTAATCCCTGCATCAACTTGGCAACTTCATCAGAATCGTCTTCCACAGTGCAAATGCTCTGCTCCTTCGCCCTTCCTTTGAGCCCCTGTCTTATCCTCTCGGACTCTTGGTAGCTCTCCTCTCTGAGAGCAATCTCTATGCTCTTGTCTAATGTTGATGGCTCCTTTCTGTGTATGGCTCGGCGCAGCTCCTCATCGGGAATTACTTGCTCGAAACTCCTACGAGCAAGCCTATCTTGAGCATCCCGGCTCATTTCAGGATAAGCCATTGACGTCAGTCGTCGTATATGTTGCCCCAGACTTTGTAAGGATTCTCGAGGCTTTCTCTTTCGGCAACACAGCTCTGCTTCATACACATCGGCCTTGCCACCTGGGCCGAACCTCTTCTCCAAGGCTTCCAGTAGGTCTTCATAACAGTAGCCACTCTCCAACTCCAGGACAATCTGCTGAGCATCTCCTCTTAAGTTAGTGGCTAAGTACTGAGCCTTCTCTTTGTCATTCCAGTTATTGTTTTCAACACATGTTTGAAAATACACTTTGTAAGCTGGCCAGGGGCTTGATCCATCAAACGTTTGTGTGGGTTTTATCCTTGTAGGTTTCCCTGTGTTTGGAGATTCGACTGCTTTTCCGCAAATTTCGATAGCTTTCTGAGCCATTTGCAGAACAGAATCTAGCGCGGAAGTCTCAGGGGCATTTGAAGCTTCTTTATTGCAGCTTTTCTTATCAGGAGACACATCGGGCTCACAGTCTTGTTTTTGCCCCATGGCTCCCGTTGCTGTCTCTTCTTGAGTAACTCGGGCTGTCTTGTTATCATAACTGTGGGATGGTAGCTCCAGGTGTGGATTCGCCATCATTAAGTTGTGATCTATCCCCTCTTCTGGATGCCGCTTCTGTTTCAACTCAGGCCTGTACCTGGGCTGAGGACTTTCTTTCACGGCTGTTTTCTCTGCTCTTCTACTCGAAGAAGTAAGTTTCGGCACAGCACCACTGGACTCTTCGCTATCCTCAATGTAGGAAGACAATGGATCGGAATCCCTCTGCATTCCTTTCACAGGGCCATTACTCCCCCCTTCCAGATGTGACCTATCCTCCATCGGATGAGCTTGAAATCTCCTTCCAGGAGGAGGCAGTGGAGGCTCTCCATACGTGGTCCTTTTCTCCCAAGTGGAGCGTACTGGGTCATCTTGCTGACAGGCAGTTTCCTGTTCCTGCTTTACCCGTATCTCGTGAACCAAATATGGAGGCAGCCAACCTCCCGCCTCCCCGGGGACTGGCTCAAACATCATTGGTGGGTCTACTCTAGAAAAATTGGCCTCCAATGGTGCCTGGACAAATTCATCGGGGCTTCTTTCTCTGCTTCTTGAAACTGTCTGTTCATCTGTACTTATTGTTTTCTCATACGGCAGTCTGCTCTGCTGAGAAACTGGCTTCTGTGGGTGCTCTATGTGATCCTGGTGGACATGCGACGCCTCTTCAATCCTGTCCAGCCTGCTCACATGACAATGCTTACTCTTTACATCTTCTGGGGAAGATTTTAATTGCTCTAACGACTGTGCCATTGCTTGTAGGGCTCCATGAATTGAGCTCAAACCGAGGGAAAGCTCCTTTTGAAATGAGCCCAGACCTTGGCTCAAATCTGCCTTTAACCTCTGCTGCTCCCTCGTCAGCTCATGTAGCCATTCTTCCTGCTTTTTCACATTGCTCGCCAACAAGGTGGTTTGTTGCTGCTGCGACACCAGTTCTCTCTGCAGGGTGGACAATTCCTCACCCATCTTACTGTCTCTAACTTCCACAGTAGAAGTTCTTGGCTGATTAATTCCATGAGTTCCCTTAGGTGGAGTAGCATAATTTGGCAGCGACTGCTGCTCTGCTCCTGACCAATATCCAGTACTTTGCAGATGAAGGTCCCTCCTTTGCTTGTCTGTTGTTGGCATATCTTCCAGAGGAATGGTGTCATCCAATGTCATGTAATCACCTCCTCGTTGTCCTTTGAATAACAGCGTCTTCTCACCATCTAACTTTACATGTTTCTGTTGATCTTTATCTGCTCCGAGCTTGCTCTCCATAGCTCGGCTTGTATCTGTGTCTGATGTTGCCATCTTGTGCTCGGTACTATCGTCTCACTGATCCCACCGCTGCCACCAATGTCGCGTTCCGGACTTTTGCCTATAGTCTGGAAGCGATGAGTAATTTTCTACCTTATACTTCTTTGTGGGCCCAGTCCTGGTTTGGTGGACTGGATGAAACGACAGTCACAAATGGCTTCAAATTTAATACATATATTTTAACACACACTAACTATACAAGAAAATAACACAGTTCAATGTTCATAGCTTAAAATGTCACTTTAAAATTCTCTTTATAAGCTTGGTAGTGGCCGTTTCTGCTTTCTTACTCCTTCCTATGGCTCTTGAGCTCTTTGCTCGGCTCCTCTGCCTCTTTATGGCTCCTATGGCCCGTAAACTTGGCTCAACTCCTATGGCTCTTTAGCTCTTTCCTGACTCCTCTGGTTCTTGGACTTGGCTCTTCTGGCTCTTTGTTCAGCTCCTCTGGCTCCTGAGCTTGGCCCCTCTGGCTCTTGAACTTGGCTCCTCTGGCTCTTGAGCTTGGCTCCTCTGGCTCTTCGTTCAGCTCTCTGGCTCTTTAGCCTCGCTCCTCTTGAGCTTGGCTCTTCTGCTTCTGAACTTGGCTCCTCTGGCTCTTCGTTCAGCTCTTTGGCTCTTTAGCCTGGCTCCTCTTGAGCTTGGCTCTTCTGGCTCCTCTTGAACTTGGCTCCTCGTTCAGCTCTTTGCGATGGAAGTCTTCCTGGAACTATCTCTGTCAGTGGTGAAACCAACTGACAAAATAGTCCACTGTGACTCTTCTGGCTCTTTAGCCTTGCTCTGCCTCTATGGCTCTTGACTTTTCCAGGGAGGCTCCTCACTGCTCGATGCGATGGAAGTCTTCCTGGAACTACTTCTGTCAGCGGTGAAACCAACTGACAAAATACTTCTCTGTGTTGGGAAGTTTCTCAATTGCACCTTACAGCTAGTGGTGGAACCGGACTAACTATAATGCAAGGTTGCTTCCAGTATGTTCCTTGCTGCTTCCTCAAGGACAACACTGAGCTATGTATCTCTTTACAGCACTCTTAAGAATGGAAGTATGAAGCTATTCTTGCTTTCAATTAAATCTGACAAATATCTCACTAACTTTAGAAAGCCTGGGACATAAAATGGCGACACACAGTAGATCTTGATACCCAATGAACTAGAAATTACGACCAGTCAGAGGCATCTCAGTAGCATGCTGATCATAAAGTCACAAATTCTGGTACACTTGGAATTAAAAGTTATAGTCAGTCAGAGGCATCTAGTAGCATGCTGGCCATAAAATCACATAAACAAAAAGGAAAAATCTCACCCGAATCAGTGCTGCTTTCTCTTAGGCCCAAAAATTCGAGTTTCCTCTCCTGTTTCTCCTTCTAAAACGTCCTGGTGTGTCTTCCCGCTTTATTCTTCTTAACTAATCCCAAATCACTGGCTGATGGCTACTCCAAAGCACGATAATTGTAGATTTTCTTCCAAACCTCAATTCACACTGCTTCATTCAAGATGGCGACCTACCTTCTCTTCACGTGATTGCATGAGTCACAGGCACAGGTTAACACATTTTGAAATCAGGGGCACTGCATTGCAGCAATTGAGGGGATTCCCCTTCCTGTCTTGGAATACCCACTTGTGAGCAGGGGTTTCCCTATCCCTTGCATAAATAGACCAATTAAACATAAAACTGCACCAGTGGGAAAATTAAAAAGGATAAACTCAAAAAATGAAATTTTCCCACAATATATATAGTTCCCATCAATACGTTCTACTCTCCCACATGAATCTACTTCAAAATTGTTGAAATTCAAAATATCTTCAGTGATTTTTTTTCAATGAAATTGACCCACATCTAGGCCCGGGCATCTAGGGTTTAGAGGGATCATGCTATGGTCAGTTCACATTCCCGGGGAATGTTTTATTTCGTTCAGACCACTCTAATTAATCCACGACGATTATTTTACAAATTGACTAGACTCTATCTAGATGTGAAATATAAATTGTACCACACAATCACATAAAATATTGCTAGAGAAAATCCTTCCTACAAATCATTCTTAGGTGTATATCTAAAAAACAGGACAAATAGTTCATATTTGACAAAAATAATCATATCAAAGTTTCTGTGACACCTTGTCATGTAAATTTTCAGTAATGGCGACCAAAACAGAAATGGAAGGTTCTCCAAATATTGAGCGGGAGCGTAGTTCCAGTGATCCACATCCTCAAGTAGAAGCTGTGAATACTTTAAAGATTGATGCCGGTATTTATTCATTCATTTTTCTCAGTATTAGTTCTCGACAGGTGACTTACGATTCATCCACATTTTTTTTGTCTTTTTTGTCATTTTTTTAGAAAAAATCAGGAAGTGAAGAAATAGAAATAGACTAGTAGGGTGTAGATAAACGCTTTCTTTTTTAGTGATAATTTCCTAGTTTTATAAGAATGCAATTATAAAACGTGCCATTTTCCAAAAGCACTTATCAAATCAAGTTGAATTGATATGTTATTGTAACAAACAGAACACTGTCACCACACCCTCAGCCTTTAGGCCTAGTGATCATGTGGCAAATCACCTTTTGTCATTTTATGCCCACCTTCAAATACAAAGTAACTAACAGGTGTGTTTAACACCCACTGAGGGTAATTTGTGTACAATGGGTTGATATTCATTGGACATGGTAAAAGAAGAGGGACAAATTATGCTAATGACCACCTTGGATTCAAATATTATTTGCAATGGCATCATGATGATAAATGTTTAATCTTACTAAATACATGGTCAGGGAGATAGCCAGCAATTGTTAAGGGGGTGCTAATTTTTGTGTTTGCATCACTGTAAGCGAAGTGAGCCCAAAAAGGGGGGGATATGTGATATTTTCTTCTTCTTGATCCTTTAAGCATCCGTGTGACACTATTGGCACTGTAATGCTGCATTTGGACACTGGTTACTCAGTTATTCACTTTGGTACTATATCTCACTTGTACTTTTCACTTCTACTTCTACTAAGCTGGAGAGAGAGCGCTGAGAATATGTTCTTTCAATATTATGAATTGTGAGTGTTTTTTTAAAGAATTTACATTGTAGATGGAGCAGTGTCAATGTTCTTCAACAGTTTTAATTTTACAAAATTTCTTTTTTCTTTTTTCACAGTTTCAAAACAATGATTGAGTGGTAACTAATCTTTTTTAAGAATCTTTAAAAGTAGCAATCAGTTAAAGCCGGACCTCTCTCCAAAACACAATCTTAGGTTGTTCCTGGGGTCCCTGGTAATATTTTGTGCTTTAATGAGAACATATACAATAATGAACAAATGGAGCAAATACTGTGAAGAAATACTCACGATAAAGATGTTATTTTGACGATTGTTCATGCACTTGCTCAGAGGTTCGCCGGTAAACAAATTTCTTCGAAGATTTCTAAATTTAGAATGTCACGTGACTTACTAAAAAGAAGTTTAAATAAATCCCCTTAAATTACATGCATGTATATCCAATGCCCAGGTAGCACAGTGGCAAAGTCCTCGCCTGTCACTGTGACGGTCCGGGTTCGAATCCTGGCATCTTCTTTTTTTATTTTTTAAGTTAATGGTTATGCTTTAATTTTACGCATAAAAACGTTTATATCTACGTCAAATTTATATTTAAGCATTTATTATCTCTTCAGTCGTATAAAAATGGAAAAATAATTTATGTTCATATATTGCGTTTTGGAGAGAGGTATAGGTTTAACATTGAAAAATAAGATTTACCTGGTGACTTGTTCAGATATGCTTGTTCAATACATTGTACTTAGTTCTATGAGAGATATGGTGACATATTCAGTGATCTCCACAGGATTTGTTCTCAAATGGGTGCAAAATTCTCATTTTCACAATTCAGACCAAAATTAGTCAAAATATGCCAATTTTCATGACTTTTCTCATTTTCAAGTGGGTGCAATTATGGATTTTTAGGTGGGTGCAAGCCTATTTTCAAAATCTCAGGTGGATGCTGCACCCACTTGCTTTAATGCTGGGGAGATCACTAATATTGTTATTATTTCTGTATATTGTATTGTAAATAAAAAAATTTAGTTAGTCCTGACTAGTTCCAAATGTTATTGTTTATCTAAACATTTCTTGCAGTCAGATAGTTTGTATCTTTGTGTCTTGAGTTTTAATTTGTCAGTAGGAAACTCCAAAATGGGAGTAATGCACTTCAGCTTGAACAGAATATCACATAATAATTGTTGACTTAATTATACCACACATATCACTCTAAAATGATTATCTTCATAGGTGGAGATATTTCACAAAGAAGGTCTCATCTAAAACGTCATGTGATAAGAAATGACCAATTGCATCTTGTTTTGGGTATCTTATATTTATAGTATTGATTTTGGTAGAAGACTGGTGGAATAAGAATAACATACAGACCCCCTCCTGAGTTGATTTCTTCAACAATAACATATCCAGCCCCCTCCCTCAGTCCCTACCCCCCCCCCTCATTGTCTCTCAATCCTGAACCCCATAGTTTTGCATCACAGCAGAATAACTTGTATTTCCAATCATACCATACCATGTTAAAATGGACCATGGCCATACCATGGTATACCATGGTATGACCATGGTATACCAAGGTATATGGCCATGAAATGCAATGAAATACCATGGTAATACCATGGCCGATCATGAACGTTAAATGGCACCATTGCATTTCATTGTTAACAGTGCGTTTTAACATGGAGTTTTCCATTGAAAAAATACTGCCGTTTCGCAGTATTTCATGGTCAGAAACCATCAAATGCAATGATATCATGGTCAAGTTCTCGGCCATGATATCATTGCATTTGATGGTTTCTGACCATGAAATACTGTGAAACGGCAGTATTTTTTCAATGGGAAACTCCATGTTAAAAAATGCTCCTGACCATGAAATGCAATGGTGCCATTTAACGATCATGATATACCATGGTATACCATGGTCAATTAACATGTAATTTTGTATCTAAAAAATACCACCGTTTCACAGTATTTCATGGTCAAATACCATCAATGCAGTGATACCATGGTCTAGACATTTAACCATGATATGCAATGGAGCCATTTAATCATCACGATCTACAATGGTATACCGTGGAAACTATACTTAAAATTTTGCATTTAAAAATACTGCTATTTTGCAGTACTTCATGGTTGCAAACCATCAAATGCAATGAAGTACAGTCAAGATATATAATCGAAGACTGGAGGTTTGACTTACAAAATACCAAGTTGATCTCCTATTTAACCGACAACAGTCAAATAAAAGTAAAGCATATTTGTTTAACAAAAACAAATTTGTTTCTAGGGTTATCAACTTAATTATTCATAATAGAAATTAATTTATTAAATAAAGGAACAAAAGTATATAAAGTTCTGATTTTGATGAATATCAGAATCATTAATTATAATAATTTGGTTATCTAATTAACATTTATTAATAAAGATATTTCATGTAAAAAAATACTTTTTGAACATGGCCTTTCATTGTATTTCACTGCATTGCAAGAAAGACCATTGCATTACATTGCACATCATGATCAATCATTGTATTTCATTGCATTTCATGGTTAAACGTGGTATTTCATTGCATTTCATGATCCATTTCAACTCTGACCAATTTTAGACTTGAGACTCTTGTAGAGTTCTTTTTAGCAATGAAATACCATGGTATAACTATGGTATTTGATGGTCAGGTTTGACAACGAAATGCTATGAAATACAATCAACCACGAAATGCAATGATATGCCATGATAAATGATAGTTATGATTATGGCAACCAGAACAACGGCAACGCCAAAGCGTAGCGAATCCCATCGAACAGAAATAGCTGGCATTTTTACAAACGAATAGCAAATATCATAAAACAACACACCAGAAAGGCCACCATTTACAAAATGGTTGCTCACTAGCCAAGTTGTCATTAGGAGAAATAATATGCTTTTAAGTAGCTACCTCTAAAATTTTTGAAAAATTACACACGTACTTGTAAAATAACACACATAAAAATGGTGGCCATTTTTCAAAATGGCCGACTACTCCCCAAAGTTTTATTAGACAATGTGCCATGCTTAAAGTATTCACATATCAAATATGAACAAAATCGCTCCACTACTTTTTGAGTTATAATAAAATACGTTAAAATGGTGGCCATTTTTCAAAATGGCCACCTTCTACCAAAAGTGTCATTAGAAATAGACAGTGTGCCATGCTTATAGTATTCACATACCAAATATGAACAAAATTGCTCCACTACTTTTCGAGTTATAGTAAAATATGTTAAAATGGCGGCCATTTTTCAAAATGGCCGCCTTCTACCAAAAGTGTCATAGGACAGTGTGCCATGCTTATAGTATTCACATACTAAATATGAACAAAATCGCTCCACTACTTTTCGAGTTATAGTAAAATACGTTAAAATGGGGGCCATTTTTCAAAATTTTTTTCAAAATGGCTGCCTTCTACCAAAAATGTCATAGGACAGTGTGTCATGCTTATAGTATTCACATACCAAATATAAACAAAATCGCTCCACTACTTTTCGAGTTATAGTAAAATACGTTAGAATGGCGGCCATTTTTCAAAATGGCCGCCTTCTACCAAAAGTGTCTTTAGACAGTGTGCAATGCTTATAGTATTCACATACCAAATATGAACAAAATCGCTCCACTATTTTTTGAGTTACAGCAAAAATCATAAAATGACGAGTAAAGGCGACCATTTTTCAAGATGGCTGCCATGTGCTTCTTTAATATCTACATTTGTAGCATTATTAATGTCTTTTATAATTTTTTTACATTTAAAACATATTGCTATTACAGTTTTACATATTGCACCTAAATTACTGTAAAATCGGCACTAAAATGGCCGTTATTTTGAAATGAGCAGCAATTTTGAAAATCGGCTTTCGAGCAGAACTTCTACCCCCATAGGGTATATGTGTACAAAATATGAACAAAATCGGGCCAACGGTATTTGAGTTATTGCCCGGACGGACAGACGGACGGACGTACGTACGTACGTACGGACGTACGGACGGACGGACGGACGGCCGGACGGACGGAGGCGTTCCCTATATCCCTCCGAACTTCGTTCGATGGGATAATGAAATACCATGGTATGACCATAGTATTTGATGGTCAGGTTTGACAATAAAATGCCATGAAATACCACCAACCATGAAATGCAATGATAAAACCATGATAAATGAGAGTTATGATTTTGGCAATGAAATGACAT